CATTTCAGTGCAGGTTCCTACAACCCGGTTCATTAAACACATCCATGGACTCATCCAGATGGTTCCTCCTGGAGCTGATCTCCTCTCCATCAGACTCCACCTTCTCCTCTTTTCTTCGGTAAAGTCTCCGGATGTTTAACAAACATGCTTTTATTTTGAAATCCGCACATCGCCGTTGTTTCTTTTTAAACCGCTAACTGAGCACAAACGTTTTCTACCGATATCGGAACCGTCGGAGCTCACCTGTCCGGAGCAGCAGCACCTGAGCGCGGCTCCGCTGCGCCTCCCTGCTGCTCCGGTACCGCTGCCTCAGCACCGACACGTCCATCCGGTCCTGCTCCTCCCGGATCCCTGCAGCAGGAGGCGGGCACAGAGTCACCTGCGACCCGCAGGACACACCTGCAGCAGCTGTTTGTCCAGGAACACGTGGTCGGAAGTCATTAGTTCATTTCTGAATCCAGCTCAGAGACACAAACACCAAACAGGAGTTTAAATGCTGCTGATCAGCTGGAGACACTTCATATGAGAAGACCTGACCTCAGGACCACAAAGACTCACAAAACAGGACATCTTCACATTATGGTCCACTCTGAGTCAGATTATTGATCAGCACCTGAGAGTCCTTCATTTTCAGGGTTTTAACCCTTTAAAGGACTCTATTTAGGAATACGCTAGTTTATATGATTTGTTTACCTTAAATAGGAATTATCTTCCCTGTAATGAATGCTAAAAGGCATTTGTGGGTCAGTCTGGGACACGTCACTGATCCGCAGCAGAGGTCCAAACACGTCCACACCACAAACCTAAAGAACCAATGTTATATGTAACATCAGTCCTGATCAGAACCACCAAGTCCAGAGTTAACTCTCAGCTGGTTCACATGGTGTTTAATTAAGAAAACTGGATTATTTCTGAGTAAACACTGGCCACAGTCTGTGACGAGTCAACAACCAGCAACACAACTCATTCAGGGCTCATTAATGCCTGTGCAGAGCCAGCTGAAGACCAGAACCTTCCTTCCACGTATCATATGCTGATATTATCCAGCTTTCAGAATCAGCACCTTTTCTTCATTGTCAGATTCAAACCCTGGAGGTGCCACTGTGCTGCGTCTCTGTGGAAGCAGGACGAGTGCAGCCTCTTGTCCTCACACACTAAGCTGGAGATAGTGCTGCTAATAAAGGTGAGAAGCGATGTTTTACCGTCCAGCAGCTCTCCGCTGGGAGCCATGCAGCAGCAGCAGGACATCCTGTTGGCAGCAGCAGCAGCACACCTGCTGCAGGTGTTCTCGTCCCCGTCCAGCTCCTGCAGCTCGCGTTCCGTCTCCTCCGGAAACTCTGAGAAGACAAAAGGTGCCGACAGAATCCACCCAAATGCATCCAGACCAGGTGGAAAGTGCACAAAGAGAAGAATTTGACCGAAAGTCTGACGTTAAATGAGCAGAATCACGAGGGCACACGTCTGTGGTGCTACCTGGCGGCCAGGACGCTGAACAAGCTCCACCATCGATCATTCTGGCTTTGATTCATGAGTCAACAGCAGAGGACAAACGCCTTCAGCGACCTTTTCTGTTGGCAGCCGGCGTTGTCCTCCACACAGAGCCAGACTGGATTAGATAAGAGCGATGGAAGAGATTCAGCAGCAAAAGACCTGAAGTT